ACATCCATTATTAAAAATCCAGTTAATGCCTATGTATCAAGACAAAAATACTTTCTTCTATGTTAATAAATATTGAAAGCTGGTCTAAACTTAACTCATTTTTCGGTGAAAACAATGCAGAAACTTCAGAAAAGTCAAATGATTAGACTGTCAAGATAGATTTGAATGTTCTTTAAAGAAAAAAAACGTGTAGTTAGTCAATGAAGTATTTGTTATTGAAATAAGAAATTCATCTACTATTCTGAGTGAAGCATATAAGTAGAAATAGAAAAAACATACAAGTTTCCTTCATAAACGGTAAAGGATGCAGAAGCTTTGTTTGTTTACAAAATGTGGTGAATAGTATGATTTGTTGACATAGCTCCAACTGTGAGTCCAAAATCCCGCCTTTATACGGAAAACAAGTAATGTAGATTACTTAAGGCTGTCTTGATAACAACATTTTACCCGTATTATCCTTCAAAACACTTTCTTTTTTCTACACATACTCTTTGAAAAGATTAGCAATCTTTGTCAACACTTTATATGTTACCATTTATGTTGTTCAATGTAGTCGCATTTTCATAATGATTTCATCATGATTAATATCAGCATTGTTTTTGTTTTCAACAATTCAGAAACATGCAAGTTTTTTGTCATCACCAAGTAGGTTGTTATGCACTTTTCGGATTCTAACGTCATATTGAACTATTTTTGAAATTCCTATTATCATCACAGATACTTTAAAGCTGCCTTTTTTGTAACTTATAACCAATTTTATCAGCCCGTCTACCATACTGATTAAAATTTTCTGTTTCCATATAAATGAAGTTTGTATCAGTAAATACAGTAATAATCATCGTGGTTAGTTGATTGACAAGAGGTCCTATAAATAAGTCCCCTCTTAGTTCACTCTTTTTAACAATGCGTACGTGAAGTCGTTACAAAACCCATGCTAGACGTCAGATTCGAAGACGATTCATAAGCTAATTAATTTAGAGAAGTTACCAATAAACTATTTGTTTATTACCAGGTGATATCAAATATATATATATATATATATCAAATATGTTAAAACTACTGGTGGTTGATTAGTCCTCGACTACCTAACTAGGATAGATCTATTCTCCGTATTATATAAAAGGATATGTGTCTACCTGGTCTCAGTTTTGAGATATGTTATAATGATTCGTTTCTACTGAAAAACGTGTCCATTAAATATCGACTTTTAAATCATATTATTAACAAGTGAAACCCACTAACTTATTGAGTAATGACAACTTCTTCCGTAAACGTATTCAGAAGAAGTTTGTATTAACTGAGAGACTATATGATATAGAACAATACAAGACTTTCAATTTTCTATGCACACACTTTATCTGTAAGAATAAATAATTTCATATCAACCAACAATATTTTATTTTTTGATTGTAAGTAAAATATTGCAGAACTCAAATATATATGTAAACATTTACTTAGGTTTACAATACTATTGAATAAATTCTCACTGTATTCTACAACATGTTGCGATGGTTTTGTTGTTGGATTGAAAATTCAGTTACAAACAAAATATTCCTTAAGAAGAAATGGACTATATTTCAGTATGTCAGTAAAGAAAATGGTATTAAATGGATGTATTTTTTGTTCTGTACTTCATTTTCCATTAGTTAGTGAGATAATTGTGTTGACATATGTTTCTTTTTTGACGAAATTATTTACCTCATTTTCAATGAACTCGTTAAATTATAAAACATTTTTGGATAATCCAATTAACTGAACAATATGGAAAACTTTAAACATTTTATCAGTATAGGGTTGTGAAGATTATCAGGTTTTTGATTGGGATCATGAACCGATTGATGTTTGACCACCATCGAAAACCTAGAATCACTGAACGGCCATTTCGTCCTATTGTGTGACTCCTTAGCAGTGCTCATCCACGATCCCGCTCGCGGGATTGAAACCCAGGGCCTTCGATCTGGCACGTGAATGCTTAACGTCTAGACCACTGGGCCGGCATCCAACGGTGTTAATGTCTAACTTCAATCAATCCACGATATTGCGCAACCATCTTTCATTGTTCACGTTAGCGCGCGAGACTGAAGGCCCTGGGATCAGATCCTGCTAAGGAATCCTACAATAGGACAAAACGGCTGCCCAGTACTTCCAGGTTTTCAATGTTGGTATAACATCAATCGGTTCATGATCTCAATTAAAACGTTTTTTCAATTTATCATATTTTTATACGTTTTGCGCCGTAAAGTTTTAAACCAGAAATAATGTTTTTGACTTATCGGACATTATTAGTATGATTTACAATCTGTTCCATACAATGTTAAAGTAGACTATAGCCTAGATGCTAAGTAAAGACGTTTAGAATTATAAACACTTTAAAACATAGGTAGTAAAATAGCCAGAATATAAAATTAACATGAGGTAGACATGCATATTTGAAGATCATGTTCCCAGCCAAATTGAATAGACGTGCAACCAGATACCATATATTCTTTATTCGATTTTATGTTACATATAGAAGCAACCCAGTATCCACGGAGTAAATTTCCACAGGACAGAAGAAATTATAATTGCATGTTATGAGTCAATGTAAACTGCTTTATCATTAAACCTTTTATTCATATTTTTCATATATATTGTTTACTCACTAACCTTAATGAAATACAGAAGACAACAATCCAGCTTAGATTATCAAAATTCGAATTGTATCACATAACATTAATTTAACTATGTATTGTCTCAAAATAGCTTGAAAGTAAACTTTTGACTGTCCACGTAGTTAAGGAAACCATTTCAAGTATGTACTTTATAGTTTTAATAGGCTTATTAATCTATTTATGCAGTAGGAGATATTTTCTCTGAAATCACTGATTCCTTCTCATTTCCTATGTTTTCTTAATTCAATATTGAATATAAAATGTTTCGTCTCATCCACTGTCAGTTTGTTGAAACTGATTTCTTAGAATTATTTCAGTCTAAACTATGTTTAGCATTCAACAAGTTTAGATGGTGGTTGGAGGTAGTCAACAGGAAACTCGGGACCCGGGTTTCGTGCTACTTCGCACTCGTCAGCAAGGTGTACCTGTAATCTTGAGGGAACTGTTTCTCCCTGGTGGATTCGATCTCGTGTCACCCAGCTCCAACCACCATCTAATCTCACAATAGTGCACGCAGTGTCGAGTCACCTAGGCTGGTGTCCACAATGCAACATGGTCGACAGCATTCGATCTGCACTAATAAGGACTAGACTTGCATGACATTGATCGCCACCCAGTGATCAATCAATTGTGATTCAACAAGCTTATTATGTTTTGAGAAACTCGATACCAACTAGCGAAAATCTATATAACAACTAAAATACTGATTGTATAATAACTTATTTTTCTTGAATATGAAAAATAATCGATGTTCCAACAAACAATTTTTTCTTAGATACTTTGATGAATGAAACCATTCAAACAATAATATGTTAAGCTGCTGATCTAGTAGCCACATTGTAACTCGGTCGATAGGATTCAATCTGCACTAAGAAGGACCTGACATATATGGCATTGATCACCACCCAGTAATCAATCGATTGTAAACTGCTGATCTATTGAACATTAATTTATTAAACTATAATCCTATAATATATAAAAAATATTTCTATTAAGATCAAAAGCCCATTTTAATGATGAAAAAACCGTTCCGCTATTTTTTTTTTCAAAATTCAGTCTATCAATGCCTGTTGATTATATTGAAATTCAACTTCAGTGTAATACTTTTGGTTACAAAGTGTTGTTAAGTATAGCCTTGATTTTTTTTAAATAATTTTCGACAGAGAATAACAAAATAAATAAATATTTATGTGATACATCAGAATGATTATGATTATTTAAAATAATCAGTGTATTTTATAAATTTGGACAAAGCAATAAGATCAACTCTGTCATTTCATTGCTTGATCAAGATCAGAATTATGTTTGTGTATCATTAATTTAATTGTCTAATGACATTGTCTTCTCTAGACTGTTTTCAGAAAATGTGGGAACAATATACGAATATTTTAGTTGAATGTATTAAACCTTCCAGAACCTTCATTCATATTCCATGAATATTGTTATGAAATATAACAATCTGCATTACTCTATCAATCACATTCACATATACTTTTTAAATTAACCTGATTTTTTTCACTTTTATTTAAAGATTGATAAAGTTAAAGAAAGTTTTAAGAATCCTTTTATATATTAAAATAAACCTTTCCTAATATGAATACTAATTCACAACAGCTATATTAGATCTTATTTTGGTTATAATCCAATTCATTAAAAAATACCATTCGTTTGTTATAATTGTAATAGTCAATAATAGCATAAAACTTTCAAAAGAAAAACAAAACAAAAATAAACAAAGAAACATGATAATCAAGTAAGAGCATTAAGTATAATCTAACGGTTTCATGCTTTTATTATGAGTTGAATCTCATTTCAATTATTCTCATCAATGTTCAATGAACAAGCAAACTGTTACCATTATTGTCAAAAATTCATATAAACACATCATTATGAAGGCAGAATTTATAAATTTTTAAACATAAACTATTAGTCAAAACAAATAGAAGGAGAAAAATAAATAAATAACTAATAATACTAATATTAGTACTATATCTTATTTATAACAAAAATTTCTTCTTTAATGGATGTTTTTTTTTAAAGAAGAAAAAGAAAACAACAACTTCTATCCATAAAGTATAAACTAATACTAAAAATGGTTTAATAAACAAACAAAAAGAAAAAAAGAAAACGAAAAAAACAACAACAAGAAATATTACAATAATAATAATTATACTTTTATCATGTCCATTTGCTATAAGTAGAACTATTATCATCAATTCAATGTTTGTTGTAAACAATGTCGCATTACCTTTCATAGATACTTTCATCTTTCTTTGAATATAACTTTTGTAAGATAAATAATAAAAGTTATGCGTTTTTTTTAAAAAAAATAGTTTTTTTTCTTTTTTTGGTAAACAAAATTAATCTTGTTCCATTTTTTGTATCGAAAAAAAAACTCTCCTTTTCGTATTTTTTTTGTGTGTTGCATATAGTTACTGATTATGATTCATGTATTAAATGTGTCATGTCAGGTTGTGATGGATGTCTAACCATAAACATATAAATTGGTCCAACTTCATTAATTTGTGGTCCATGAATAGGATCATAATCGAAATAAGTTGTATTTGTAGTCATTTCAGTTGGAGCAGATACGTAAGCTGAAGTATTCACTGTATTAATTGGTGTAACTACTAATGGTTTAATTTGAGATTCACGACTCATTGGCGTTTGAACAGGTGATCGATAAGAAAGTAATGGTGATCGAACTGGTGAATCTGTAGATAGTTGTATTGGTGATTCATTATGTAATTTTGGTGTAGCCCAACCATCGTTTAAACTATTTGATAATGAACGATTCAATAGATTTTTATTTGTAACTTCTGAACTGATTTGAGTATCAATGTATGACATAGATTGTGCCTTTAATGGAGAATCCACTGATGGCATATCATGTACCATGTTATCAGATTGTTTAGATGCATTATAAATTATTTCACATAAACGTTTAGTATCATCAGGATCTTTACATTTATATGTTTCACAGTAACTTGAATATGGAAATTCAGATTTCACTGATAACATAAACATATCTGGGTATTCTTTACACATAAAAAAATGTTCTATATCTTTGTATGATACATGATCACGAAATAATGATTTAGCAACAAAATTTTTCTTTCGAAAAATAATTCGATCTTGTAAACATATAAAACGAACTTGATGGCTTGTACGTTTCTTCATATGTGAAATAAATAAATCACTTAGGTTATTTCTTTCCTTTACTTCTATACTATTCACTAAAGTTCTATCAAGTGCACATACAATACATCGATAAATTACTTTTTGATTTGTTTTTCGATCATATTCTTGTTGATGAAGTGAACTATCCGATTTAGCAGTACGTAATGCTTGGTTTTTATTTGAACGTCCAAGTGGCATAATTATATAATTGAATAGTTAATTTGATGATATATGTATTTATATATGTATGTATAATTCTATTTCTTTTTAGATGGATAAAAATCAGCCAAATGATAATTTATTATTGTGTACACAAAACTAGTATAACACAATATGTGAATAAAACAAAACAAGGTAAATGAGAAATAAGAATGTTCAGTTAGTTATTTTAATTTACTTTTTTATATGAGAACCGCATCGATTTTTGGTCCTTTTTTTGTCTAGTGGTATTTAATACAATAGTGTATGTGTGATGTAATTTAATCACGTTGGTTAGCTGAAAAAGACTGGACGGAAGACAGATACATAGTATATAAAAAAGAGTGATAGAGAAACATAGTGAGACACTTAGAATATCATCATATGGGGGTAGATAAATCACACTTATATTTACCGGCCATATTGATCACATACATGATAAGATATTAGATAGTTTTAATATATGTTTATATGTACACTAATAATGTAAAATATTTTATAAATGGAGTTGTTTTTTGATTGATTAAATTTAATGAACTTGGTAACAAGTCTAATTTCATGATGAATAAAAATTAACTGGCTCTGAGTGTTTAGTAATATAGTATATCTATTAGTCTACGTATTACGTCGTAATTGGAATCGAAGATTAAATATGATAAATCATTGTTTAAAATATGTACTCCATGGATGAACATCTTCATATTATCCGTAGGTATAATTTTTAATCGATTTCGTATTTTGACTAGAGTAGCCATCTATGTTATGGGTTTTAACCTACCTTAGACTCGTCAGTATACATGACAACAGTGCTTGATTGGACGCCGTCCAACAATGGTATAATACTCATCATTAAAAATGAAGTCGACTATGACTGGTTTTGATTAATAAATACATTATATTGAAATGGTGGAGAAGATTTATAACTCAGTTAGAAGTTCTATCTGAAGTTTGTGCCGTTGATATCGTTCAGAATAACAATGAAAGCTCCACGACCGAGCCATCCAGCTCAGAGAACAAAACTCCACAAAAATAGATTATACTCTGAGAATAATAATTTATTTTATTTATTATAAGAACAGAAATGATAGTGTATTCAGTAAATTTTGTTACCAAACTCTAGGGAACTACTACATGAATATCATATACGGGTAATCAGAAATTCAATATTCAACATGATTTTCTGTTTTGAAGAATCTGCTCATTAATTCATTAAAAATCTTTTTTTGTGAAGAAATTACAATTAAAAGGTTTAAACAGATTCGAAAATTTTATCTCACTTTGATTATTCTTAAAGCTAACAAAATATGTTATACTAGTATTCCAAACCTTCTAATGCATTTCATATTTATTTGGTTCTGATGACAGTTATGAAGGTTAACAGCTTCTGTTTTATACCTCTTTACATGTATCAACAATGCAGTATGTATAGCAATTAAATAACCGATTTGTTTATTGAAAACTTATCTGTTTAACTTGAACCTATGCTGAAACATAAATTTTTCGAAAGTCGCGCACAAACTTGGCTGATAAATGACTTCTGACTATTATTAATTCCTAAGCATATGAATATTACTAGTTGCAATCTAAATATACTGAAAACGTCACTACTTAATTCATTATCTGTGTGTTAATACCAAAGTCACTTGCAAAATTATCTTGATCTTATTTATGTTAATATCAACTGGTCATCTTGTGCTATAATACCATTCTGAGTAACAAGAATTACCAATATTTCGCATTCACTTAATTTATTATCATTAAGATAATCAAAAGTGTTTCCCTTTACAAATCATTGATATGTCCATACTTGTACTGATACTTAAAGTGTTTGGCATACAAATACAAAACAATAAATTTAACACATCTATATCCTTATAGTAAAATAATTATTCATTAATATAACCGCTTATTAAATTCGTATTTATTATTTTCACAAGAAGGGCAAATCTTCCACAACCTACCTGTTTTTTCGAAGACACCACCTTAGTTCTATAAGAAGTAAGAAGAAAATTAAATACTATTGAATTTTTATGAAAACATCATGTTAGATCACATTTTTATTGATCACAACGTTACTTAACCTAGTCAGGTCATTGAGTTTTATCATTCAAAAACCAATATTTTGATAGAATTTAGATATCTTTTGTAGAATGTATGATTATTCGTTTCTTATGATGTTTCTAAATAACATGGAGTATTTTAATATCGTAAGTTATGACTAGATAAAGTACAGATTTTTGACATCATTTGTTATGTACCTATGTTTGTATTATGATAACTATTATAGTCATTTCATAAAACTTGAAAATTTGTTTCATAGAATACATCAATAAGAAGTTAACAGATTAGAAGTAAACGGACTATAATTTTCTAGTATTCCTAAACTTTACAAAAGATTAGGTGGAATCATACTCCTAGAACACACTATTTATCTATGAGCTATGATACTTTTATGTATCACATATTCAAAAATGACGTATTGTTTGATCAGGCACTTAGCGGTAGAATTATTGCACTATTAATAAAAGATTTTATAGATTGAAAGTGTTTTTCCCTTATAACTTTAACATTGTTAATAATTGCAAATTAGAAACAAGATGATTTAACATGATAAAGTTGCAAGTAACGTATATTTTTTTAAAAATCATTAATTAAAAGCATAATCCAATGACGTTCCTGAACTAATAGAATCTTATAAATTTTTTCTAAGGTCTTGATCAAAAACTTAATAATCTCCACAACCTATATACTAGTATTCAACATGTGCTCACAAGTGACTAGCTTCGTGAGGGAATTCTCGGAGTTCTAGTGAGAAGCTGTGATCAGTGAAGCTAATCCATGTCGAGTAGAGACAGGTATCTACCTCAGTACAGTGGAAGTTGGTCGCGCAATTTCGTGGATTGGTTGATGTTAGACACTACCACCATTGGTTGCCGGCTCAGTGGTCCAGTGGGTTAGGCGTCCGCGCGTGAGACCGAAGGACCTGGGTTCGAATCCCGCGAGCGGGATCGTGGATGCGCACTGCTGAGGAGTCCCACAATAGGAGGAAACGGCCAAATGTTGCTTCCAGGTTTCCAAAGGTGGTCTAACATCAATCGGTTCATGATCTCAAACAAAAACAAATATCAAAATGAACGTTTCGAGAATATAAAAGAAAAACATGATGACGAGGAAATTAGACTGTTTTGAAAATTCACTTGGTATTATTTGTTTAAATCTTCCCATTGATGTTTAAAACCGAAATTGATCAGTCTCTTATTGGCATATGTGAAAACTGCGTTTAATGCGTCTATATAGCCTTAATTCACAAGCGATGGGGTTGAAGCGAACGTCACTGGATTCGAGTCCCATAGTGAACGTCAACTCCGAGATGCACGTACATCCATCCGACGAGTCCCGAATAGGACGAAACGACCGTCTTGGATTCCATTGCTAGCCACCATCCATCTTTGCATATTTTGAAAGTTCTTTAGTTTTTAAATAAGATTTAATATGGTAATAAAATTAAATCAAATAAACTCCCTTATTTAAATTTTACTTCATAAGAATAAAACGTGATAGTATGTCAATATAAACAGACATGGATAGTGGCTAACACTGGAGTTCAAGATGCGCAATTTGTTTTATTTTGAACTTATCAGCTAGATGTAACTGTACCTCAGAGTTGGTTTTCACACTGAGGCTTGAACTCAGTGCCGTCCGCCTCAAACGCCATCGTGTTGACTGCTTGGCTGCTGAGTACAGATAGACACTGGCTTGTGAAATATAAATAAATGATTGTATGTTACTCTGAGACTTCTCATTCTGTGACAACGTCCAAAAGATAGTTGAAACAAAATATTACTTACGTCTATTTTCCATACATTTTAGGTGCCAACAAAATTATGTGAAATGTTTGTCACCTTGAACTACACCAGTTCATTTTGAAGAATATAATTAGAAAAACATCATTATCTGGAAAGTAAATATAAACACATGAATCAGATAAAGAAAGAACTTTAAGTAACAAAATATTCCCGTTAAACATTTCTTAGATTTCAGCGGTGGTATTAGAGTGTGCACTTCGTATGCAGACAGATATAAGTAGTACGTAGCAAGAATAGAAAGTGGAATGTTTAACATCAACAAATTGAAATGAAAAGAAGTAGAAGGAAAACGGAGAGTAATCAAAACAATGACAGAATTGGAAGAATGATGGAGTATGTAAAGGGTAATTAAAGGAAGATGTGCAAATAATGTATTTATTGTGTGATGTTCATATCTTACAATGGCATTGTGCATTTTTTAATCGACAATAAGTTGGTTTACCGTACCTAAGTTTTCGTTCACCACTATATCATCAATGAGATTTGGATACAGAAAGTATAAAGTCTATAAAAGAACAGCTTACTGAGGCCCCATGTTATAACTTGTCTTATATTCATAAAGAAGGTTGGCTGACTTCTCACTCAACAGGAGAATTTGTCAACTTATCTTCTCATCAAGAACCAATTCCATTATTCACATAATCAGGCAAGCCTACTTATCAAACTTCTACTCATTGTGCTTTATGATAATTTAAAATGTGAATAATAACAATCAGAAGTTATGTATGTCAATTTGATAAACACTGAACAGTAAGTTTACTTAAATAAAGCATTCTAAATTGTTTTTCATATAATATTTACACTGTCACACCCTTTACATATAGGTTCCTTACAATGAACTAAAGTGATACTTTGAATTTGAATGAAATATCTATTATTGTATTCATTAAATAGGATTTCATTGTAGCCTAGTTATTTACTTAATTTAATCACGCTTAATGGATTAGAGCAATTGAGAAATGGTCACTTATCAAAACTTCATATCTCAATCAATACTTTCTTATATAACTTTTTTCAGTGATTGAGATCATCATTCAATTGAGACTAGACCACATTGGAAAATTTGAAAGCACTGGACAGATGATTCATTCTATTGTGGGACTCCTCAGCAATGGTGATCTAGCTTCAATTGAC